CAGTTGCTCCTCTGAATCTGCATTCAAGGTCACAGAACAATCAGGCACAGACCTGGGGGATTGTTTTAATTTGCTGGTGTCTTCCCACTCCTTCTTCTGAAAAGCCACTGAACAGTTAAGTCTCCAGTACCTTTTGGTCACATTAGAGAGACATCCAAATGAATGGGTCTGTAGTTGAGGAACACCTTCCATATCTAGGTATGTAAACTTAAGGCCTTCACCAAGTTCTGCTGTAGACTTGTAACTTCCAGACTACAAAAATGGATTTGGGGATCTGCTGTTCTAACATGGCTACAATTGAAAATGTTCCAGTGAAATCATGGCTTACCACAGAACATTTTGGTTTTCCTTCTTTTTAATTGTGACCTGGTCTGCTTTAGTGCTGGAGAACAGCAGATGTGGTTAGCCACATTACTGCAATTAAACATGGGGAAGATATGAAGATACAGAATGAAAAACAGAAGTCCATCTCAAATTTATCACATCTCTCCTATCCCAGTTCATGGGAAACATTTGCAAGTAACTCCAGTGAGTTGTGTATCTGACTGGCACAGAAGCCAAAGGCAGTTGCAATCAGATGCAAACAAACAAACTGACAGGACACCAAGAGAAGCAAATGTATGAGGAACATGTCTTGAGAATTACAAGAGGCATTGTAATTCTTCTACAAAAGAAACAAGAGATTATTATGGCATGACCATCAGAGGTACTGAAAGGACAGCATGTGGACTGTGTGTGTAATAAGAAATGCTACTTTTAAATCCAGGAAAATATGCTTTAGATTTGTAAGAAAAAAAAGCCCTGAATGCCACGTTTGCATTCACTAATTTCCTTATGCAGGTCTGCTGCAGGTGACACTGTCTAGCCTTCTCTTTGGACCTCTAAATTGCATACTTAGAATGCTACATGATCACTTATTTCACCATACACCTTTTCCTGCTCCTTGTCTGCTTCCAAAGTCAGATGGCAAAATGAAAGACTTAGAATAACTTAATTCCCTAACCCTATAATAAAAGCACAGCTTAAAACATTTCTGGCTAAGACCGAAAACACAAGAAGGAAAACCTTTCTGTAAATTTATTTGGAAAAGACAATGCATTTTTTAATCAGCATTCCTACAGGGTACAGGTTTGAGAAAGCCAACACTGGACTAGCATCTTTTATTTATTCCCTGAATTTTCCTCTGCTATTAACTTATTAGACATAATGGCCCTAACAATCATAAAAGCAGAGACTGAACACTGAAAATCTGTACCTTATTATTCCCTAGAGCCATCTAAACACACTTACACCTATGCCTAGTGAGCTGTCCATATGGTCAAAGATGCACCTGCTGGAAATACTGGTGATCTCATAACGTAAGATAAAAACTTACCTTTACTTTTCGACCCAACAACTGTGCATCACTTCTGGACATCACATATCGACGGTGGTTTTGGTAGAAGTTTTGCAGACCATAGAAAATAAAAACATCACCCTAGAAGTCAAGCATAAATCTCTTCAATAAGGTGAGTTCATGAAGACAATGAGAAATCCTATTACTTGTCAAAAAAGAGAGGGGAAGAGAGTACTCAATTCATATGTAAGTGTTGGTAAGTACACTCGAAGCTATTCAGCAGACATAGGTTAGAATCTAGTCTTTACCCTAACTGAAAGTTTTAGGATTTTGGCACAAAATTAAACATGTTTTAAATTACCAAATTAAACCTAAAATAACAATGCCTGATGATTATTTTATTCAAGATGACATGGCTGGCTATGAACTTGCAATGACTGTGAATCATTTTGTGGAGACAGACATTTTCCATAAAAGAAAGTGCACAAAGACCTTTAAATTAAAAGGATAATGCTAAGCAGGCAACTCAAGCAAGAAAGAGAATTATTTAACTATAAAAAACCATTATTCAGTTAAATTAATTTCTCATCTGAAACATCACTGTAATCTGTAGAATTACAAAATACTTTAACAACCTCTTCAATATTGAAGAATCCTAAAGTGACTTCATAATTTAAATTGTACCATAATTTTAAGGGATCATTTGTGCAGTACTAAATATAAGGTCTCTTTAGCAGAACATGAAGCGTTTTAACAGTCTCAACAACATGACCTGCTAGTTTAGGACAGGAAATGAATGATACTTTTCCAAATGAAACTGCAGAATCACATTGCTAGACTGAAATTATTTCAAGGACCTTGGGGATTAACAACATAACCCTTGTAAAAAAAGACCACAGGGGTTTAATTATGACAAGTGGTCAGAGCTTCAGATTTCCTTCTCACTTGAGAGCTTAGCAGTGCAGTAACAACTAACCCCAGGCCAAGGGCAAGGGTTTCCTACTGACTCAGAGAAAGATACAGAGGGAAGTCACCTCCACAATCATACACCATTTCCTCCACCCCCATCTTCTCCTTGGACATCTCCCAACCAAAGGCAAAAGTAGCCAAGTCTTGGTTATTTTTAACATAAACCAAAATAAATAGCAAAGGCAACAGTGTAAAATTTTCAGTATTTCATGTTTTGAAAAAGTACAAAGAAAATCAGGAGCTCTGCAGAGCAGAATTACTGTATTCTACCATGCAGGAATGTAAGTAATGGGTGGTACTAAGCAACTTGAATTGTTTTCTTGGATCCACTCACCAATATATCTTCCTTTAGTGTGAAATTAACCAAACAGTGGCATTCCTTGTTCCAGTTAGAGGAATTTTCACGGAACTTTGAACAATCTGAGCATTTATCTGAATAATCTATCTGTCAGAGAAGTGAACAAGCAGAGATATTGTAATAAAGGATGTGTACATAGGAAAAGGTTAGTGTTTTAGCTCCAAGACTTCTCAGCAGTTCTCTTCTATGTGACTCTGGACTGCCAAAAATATTGTTAAAAATTAATAGAGGCAGAGAATCAGGACTTGGTCTGAATCAACATGCACAAAATTTATCCCTAGTTTAAAGCTGTTTTAGAGCCTTATAAAGATTGTTGCAGAACCTTCACATCTGCTCCTTGGCAAAGGAGTGCTGAGTGAAGAACACTTTTGCACCTTGGCCTGGCTGACCAAGTAATGCTTGACAAATCCCCCACATGCATTATGGCTCACCCCTCTTGACCAGCCCAGAGGTAGTGCTGAGTGTTGGCTCAAACCAGGAGTCTATTAACACCACCACAGGTCTAACCAACCTTGCCTGCAGGAGACCTGAACCTTAGAGCTCCCTGTATTTAAAGAAAATGCCCCAGCAAACACGTATATTCTTTTAGTACCAAACACTATGAAAATTTCTTACTTCCCTTCAAAAACCCAGGAAATAATGACCACATTTCAGGCATTGCCAGCCAGTGGCAGTAATTATCACCAATATTTCAGACATTACCATATAGTGAACCACTCAGTGCTTGGATTTTACTTATGAAAAACTATATCTGAAGATTTTCACAGGAATACTAGCTGTTGGACACATGTCCAAGGCATGAAGCCACTGCTATCATCTCTATTCAGAAGCAAAACTTCAAAGCCTTTTCCCTCCAAACCTAGCCCAGTTTCTTTTTTTACAGAATATCTAGGAACGTCACCCCCAAACAAACCTGGATTTCTCTGACGCTGTTTGCAGCCAGTATAAGGCAGACTCCCACAGTAAGGCAGAATGCTCCTGTGAGAAAGAAGCTGGAGAGCACAGATGCAAGGGTAAGCTGAGGTTTCCAAGCTGGTAGCCTCTGTTGTTTGAATGCACTGTTATCTGGACATCTGGAAGGATGTGCTTCTCCTTCTTGAGGAAGAAAACTTGTCTTGTTTTTCATTTTCTTCTTGGTGAGAGGAAGGAATAATATACTCGTTCTGGAGAGTGTTTAAGCTGAGATACTGTCTTTATTGTTGGGAGACTGTATTGTTTGTTCAAACCTGCATTATGGCCAGGAATTACTTATTAACTAGATCTCTCTCTTCCTTGTTTTCTATCTTTGTGCCTGGATTCCCATGATCAGCTTGTACCAACCAAATGATTGTGTACTTTGGTCAGAGTGTCTAGTTCATGCCTCCTGGAAAAGCTTAAATATACTTTTACTGCCCCCCAGCTCAGTAGGATTTGTGATGTCTTATTCATTTACAGGGATAATGTCAGCCATACTGGAATTTCTCTGTAATTTCAGAGGTATTATTTCTTCTTCCTTCACTTCCATAGCTGCCCAGCTAACAGGCTTGGCATGCAATGAAAGGAACTCTACTCCTGTTGCACTGGATTCCACTGGGGGAGGACTGCAGGTGCTGAGACAGCACTGGACAGAAAACAATGCTTTGGAAGGCCAAATCAATTTTCTTAACCTATTACATTTGTTGCCTTTGATTCAGATGCAATTCAAGGTTGTTAAAAGGTTATGTGTTCTTTATCAGGACAACTCATTCTCAAAATATCTGATTCGGATCAATGTCTTTTCAGGACACTGATGACTCGCTCACCTCTATTCATCTTGTTCTCTGAAAAAAAATCCATCCATTCCCTCCTATCCACAATGACAAGAGAATCACCCAGAGATCATATATTTTTAATATAAATGGACAAACAGAAGAACATTTTTTTTGCACACTCCCACAGTTTAACAAAAACAAAATCTCGATATAATATACAAAGAATTTATCATCTAAAAGTAAAAAATAGCATTTGGACAGCTCTAGAATAGATAGGTGAAAAATACTTTTTTGACATATTACTAAACTTTATACACCTTTTCCAAAGACCCTAGAGAACAAAAACTAGATTACCACTCTCATGAGAGAAATACGTCTCCCTTGGGAGAGCAGAGGGAGAGAACAGAAAATTGAGATGTTCAAAGACTTTCACACTCAAGTTTGCTCATCTTCAAAGTCTTAATAGTGACATATAGTGGTAAATCTAGCAGGTGAATGTAACGTAACTCTAATTTCAGTATGACATTGTTCCTGCAATAAAAATCATACTAAAACTACAAACAAAACTTCCATTATTAAAATGTGCATTATTTCTGCGTTGACAGACCTCTGAAAAGTCAAAATTCTTGATTCCATCGCCTGCTCATCACTTGCCAATTGCAGACAGGGTAATAGTAAAATGCAGCTGCAAATTGCTTCCTTGTTGGCAAACTCATTAAAAAAGTCCCAGCTTCACAGACCCCTCTCTGCACAGCTTTATAATACTCATCTCCAGTAGGTCAATTGTTTCTTTCTTTATCTGAAGAAAACAAAAAATCAAAGAAAGCATCAAAAGCTACTGATAATGATACCATTATTTATTTACTCAGGCACTTTACCATAGGACTACCAATTAAAGAAGCAAATTCCTATCCAAGGTTCTTTAGAAAATACCTAGCCATTTGCTCTGCAACCCTGAACTACAACTACAGCTCCTCGTGTCCCTTATAATGTGACTACAGAAAAGCAGTCACTGGTAAGGAGTTGCTAACACATTGCACAGCAAAGGTCCATCCTGTGCCACAAAATTCCTACAGGACTTTCCTGAGTAACAAGCAGTATCAAGTAGACCAACCACAGTACGACAGACACAGCACTGTCTGTGTCTGAGACACCCAAATGAAAGTGAGCATGAAGGTCAGGTCTGCATGTGTTGCATGCAAAGTACTTTGGTTTGTTACACAGATATGGCTGTTGCTTATTGCTTACCTAAAGATAAATGTATTACAGAGTAAATATTGACTACATATTTCAAAGGGAACACAAGATTCTTTGTCATCACGGTTAGTCCACAGTTTCTTTACAGTTCCCTCCTACCACTTACAAGTAACTTATTTGCAAGTTTCTCTTAGGATTATATCCACTGTGTCTCCACTTTGCACAGGAATAAATGATGTAAGAAAGCTTGACCGATCTCTACTCCATATCAGATATGTTACATGAGGGAGAAAACAGTTGTTGTTCTATCACAAGTCCATTTCTCACAACCCTTTTTACTTTCATGAAGCCTGAAAATTAAACTTTCCATATTTCCAAATTTACTGAAGGCTCAGTGTGCATTGTTTGCAGACAATACAGTATTTATTTTTGTTGAAAAAACATCCACTTGAATCTTATGAACAAGGAATTTGAGGACTTGAGAAAGCTCTGTCTTGCCATCAACCTCTGTACACAAAGCTTTCAAAGCAGGAAGTTTGTCCTTCGGTCAGATCGAAAATTTTTATCAATTTTTATTTAGACCTTTATGCTTTACTTTATGCTATAACTGCAGTGTGCCAAGACAAAGTCTGATAATCTCATTCACCCTTCCTGTGGTTTCTTTGAGAACCTTCTATTTATTTCCTTCTCTTCATTGTTTGGGATGAATGAAGCAGAAGACACAGAAACAGAGAATAAAAAAATCCAACAGTATTAACTAATGAGATATTGAGGGAACTGACAGAGCAGCGATTCAGGGCACCATCCATTGTGTGGATATGATGGGATTCAGGACTCCCATGTGTTTTAAAATTCATGTATTTATCAGAATATACCACTGTGTACATAATTCTCTGCTGAACATCAGGTGAGTACAAAAACATCAAGTAGAATGGACATGTGTTTCAAGCTGTTCTTGCTTTCTGGTGTAATTACAATGAAATTTAGCAATGTGGCACCTTAAATATGCAAACAAATTATTGACAATTGAGGTTTGCAGTGAAAATAGGCCAGAATGCTTAGTTTCTAATTTTAAGTGTACAATTTTGCCTCTACAACTAACATAGGATGAAAGAAATTAGTACATCAAACTGCCAATTCTCTAAGTTATGTCTTTGATACTGTGTTTCCTCTCTGATTAGACTTGTGACTATAATAGCATGTACTTGACAATTTTCAATTAGAAAAGTTGACTAATATTGTATTCCATACTTCAAGTCTACAAATTGCTAGAACATCCTGTTGGTTAATATGTAGTGTTAAGATGCTTTACCACCAAAAGATTATTTGGCTATCTTTCATTGATGACATTCCTTACAAATAAATTTCAGGAATCTGCCTGATGTCTGCAGTAAGACAAACAGTTGCAAGACAATTCACCTGCATAGCTCAAGATGTCAAAAACCTTTCTGTATGTTGTGTTACCTGAGTCAAGAGCAGTTTGAAGACTTTTCTGTAATAGCATATTCACTATTCCATAATCCCACATAAATATCTATTACCTATGCTAACACTATGTATGAAGGTGCAACATTCTTACATGGATTTAACTTGAACTAAGATCAGCTTTTTATGCTAAGACAGCTTTAGGATTTTGCCTTAATTTGGAGTCACAATATTTTGGCCTATATTCCTAGGCAGATATACAGAAATGCCAATACAGTGATCCAAAAGGGATAGTTCAGGTTTGAAATAGCCCAAAATGAAATATTAGCAACATAATCCTCATCTTTTTTTAAGGTGGATCACCTATAGTCTACTGTAGTTATATTTGCTTCAGCTGACTTAAAAAATCCCTCCCACTGCAATCAGCACCGTTTGTACTGCTATGTCTGTGAATTCATGTTTTCTGTTCTTTAAAAAACTTACAGGTAAGACCAAGCACCATACAAAAAGGCCTGATGTATTTACCACAAGAGGGAGCCTCCTTGCCTCCAAAAAGCAAGCTAGGTTCTTTTGCCACACTTCTGCAATGTGTTTTTTTGGTGGGGTGCTTTATTCAAGATTATCAAAAACATCTATCTTTGTGCATGTGGGACTGTAAAATACAGCACATTCAAATACATAGACAAGTGGATTGATGATTGATAATTTCTTTCATTTGTGAAACAGTTAATATTTATAGGCAAAAAAAAAGTCCTTTCCCCTGAAGATTCTGTGTATCAGCCTGGTCTAAATAGGCGAAAAACCTGAAAACACTGTGCAGGAAATTGGGAGGTTTATAACAACCACTAATGGAGGAATCTGTCTCTTCATCTGGCTAGATATTGGGTGATGCCCCACAGCATATGGTAAACCATACCTTGTCCCAGCACTAAATATAAAAACTGGATTACAGAATTGAAAACTGGAAATTATCTTAAAAGGCGTCTACAAATGATGGGTGGTTCTAAATGGTTTGTACTTGTCAAAAAAGAAAAAAAACTTGTCAAAAAAGAAAAAAACCAAGAAGAAAAAATGCCCAAGAGACCTGTCTGTAGATTTACTCACAAGAAAAGATGTTACTCTCAGATGGACAAAAATAAATGCTTGTTCAAAGCTTTATTTAGTTTTTGAGGAAACTTTTCAGAGAAACACAGAATATTTTGGACTTGGAAGGCACCCACAAGGATCACTGAGTCCAACTCTTGACCTTGCAGAGGACCACACCAAGACTCACACCATGTGCCTGAGAGTTGTCCAAATGCTTCTAGAGCTCTGTCAGGCTTGGTGCTGCGACCACTGCCCTGGGGAGCTTTCCAGTGTCCAACTACCCTCTGGGTGAAGAACCTAATTAGAAACTAATATCTAACCTAAACCTCCCCTGACACAGCTTCAGGCCATTCCCTCGGGTTCTGTCACTGATTGCCAGAAAGAAGAAGTCCACATCCCCTTGTGAGGAACCTGTATACGGTAATGAGGTCTCCCCTCAGTCTCTTCTTCTCTAGGCTGAACTAAACAAGTGACCTCAGCCACTCCTTGCATGGCTTCCCCTCAAGGCCCTACACCATCTTTGTTGCCCTCCTTTGGATGTTCTCTAATGGTTTCATAGCTTTCTTATATTGTGGCACCCAAAACTGCACATAATACTCAAGGTGAGGCCTCACAAGGGCAGAGTAGAGCGGCACAATGACCTCCCTCAGCTGGCTGCCAATGCCTTGCCTAATGCACCCCAGGACATGGTTGGCTCTCCTAGCTGCCAGGGCACACAACTGACTCATTTTCAATTTGCCATCGACTAGGACCCCCACGTCCCTTTTGCAGCATTGCTTTTCAGCTTCTCATTCCCCAGACTGCAGGTACAGCCAGGGTTGCCCCATCCCAGGTGCAGAATCCAGAACTTGCCCTTGTTAAACTTCATATAATTGATGACTGCTCAGCCCTCTGATTTGTCTAGGTCTAGGACTTTATACAAAATCCTCTTACTGAAAGAACTTCCTGGGAACAGGTGGAACAACCATCTAGCATAAACAGGGGAAATTCACAGAGCAACCATAGAAATCACAGTTGTGACTTGCAACAATAAAGGAAAAGATCTTCCTCAGGTGGTAATTTTGAGATTAGAGAGTACAGACTTATCAGTCAATGCTGACTTCTTTGTGTTTCTATACCACTGAAGAGAGCTTTACAGAAAGAAAACTTTACTGACCAAGATCTGAGAACTAGAATCAAAAGTAATGAATGCACAAAATATAGACAGGTGTTTATACAATACCTCAGGGATGTCCATCATTCTCCTTAGTTTCTGATCTCTCCAGTTCCAATCCAGAATAATATATTTGGTGGAGTTCAAGCACAGGCCATCTAAAAAGGCAACACAATTTTTACTACCGAGATAATATGACATGGGCTTATCAAAACGATTTTTGGCTTTTACATCTTTTGCTGTCTGTTACCAAGGAAACTAATCTTTGAACACTTAAGTACTGTATTTTGCTGGTTGGAAAACTAATGCACTGACACTGCAAACTCCCTTAGCCACATAATCCCATGCCTTTTTGGAAGATAAACACAAAAGCAGAACAACTACTGTTGCCAGGATTGTCAAGAGCTAACATCCTGCCAGAAAATAATTCCTCAAGCTTCCTCTTGATGAAACCGCAGGAGTTGAATTTCCACAGCTGATGTTGTAACTGGTAAGTTTAAAGGACCCTAGCCTGAAAAGTCATGTTAATGGGAACTGACAACGTTCAGCAATTTACAGGACTGGGTGTTAAGTCAATGCGCGTCAGGTCAGTGGTGCTGCTGAAGAATTCCTTTATCCTTCGAATAAATAGTGGTGAAAAATAAAGGTCCTTTCCAAACTTGCCTTTCAGCTGTTCTCCTATTTTGCCCTGGTCTTCTACATGATGCCTGCCATTTTCTTCCATCCATCCTCTCCATTCTCTAGTGACCTGGCACTGTAACACTAAAGTGTCAAAAAAGGACTAGAACTTAACACACCTTGTGTTCCTGCCATAAGCTGCCTCCACCTAAAAGAGGACCATGGAATGGTTTGGGTTGAAAGGACCCTTAAGGATCATCTAGTTCCAAATCTCCTGTGATAGGCAGGGACACCTTCCACTAGACCAGGGTGCTCAAAGCCCCATTCAGCCTGGTGTTGAATGCTTCCAGGGATGGGACATCCACAACTTCTCTGGGCAACTTGTTGCAGTGGCTCACCACCCTTACAGCAATGAAAATTTAATGTTGGTGGACTGCACAGGAAGACAACAAAACTATTACCCCTGTCCTCTTTTGGAAGAAGCACCAGAGTCCCAACCCACAGCCGGTGCCTGACCACAATCAGAGAAAGGCAGACTTCAGAAAGAGGAATGGAAAGAATTGCCTTATCATCTTGTCACTTTGTTGTTTGTTTTCCTTCATGTACATACTGTCTACTGAATAAGTACACAAAATTTGGGAAGGAAAAAGGAGATCGATATAGAATAATTAATTTAATTATAGACAAATCAGAAGTAAAATCAAATTGGCAAGCAGATCTTTTGTCCACCCCTCACAAAAGTTTACACTGAGCTCAGAGTGACATATGATACAGTGACTTCTGCCATTATTTCCTTTTGATTCACTTGCAGTGTTTGGTCTCCCAGAGCTTTAAATCTCACGTTATGCTTTTGTAATCACTTTCAAGTCAGCATAAATCAGTGTTCCTGCCAAAAGAGGAAGTTCCCCACCTCTGCCTGCTCATTACCTGATTTTGTGTGCACACTGGTGTTGTTTTAATTGGGGTCAGCTCACTGAGCTGCCAAAACGTTTCTTGGACTAGCACAAGAGGCAGGAAAGGGGAATAAGCGAGCACTGACTGGCAAGGGTGAGGAAGTATTACTCTGCCTTTCTCTGCTAATACTGACTTATGCCAGCTTAAAATAATCACAAAATCAACTACTAGAATCTTGACCTAGTGACTGACATAGTAGAAGTGGAGAAGCAGAACCGTACAGTTTAGTAGTACCCAAATCTACAGATTCATGCCACCCTAAGCACCTCAAAACCAAATGAAGTCTCACTTCTCATGAGACCAAATATAAGATATCTAGGGCAAAAACCCTCCTTGTTCTCCTACCTTGCTCCACTAGAGCTTTTACTCTCCCAGGAGTTCCAACCCCAATGTGGAACACACTTTTCTCCAACATATTCATCTGTTCTTTTATCTATTTTGAAGAGAGAAAGAAAAACCATGGTAAAGCCACAATTGTTTTAAAATTTTTTTCTCAAAGAGTTGGAAATACATTGAGTATCTCATAGTAGCTCTTTCTAGAATACCATCAAGTAAGAAATTCTATTTGTCTTTCAAACTGCCAAACTGTTATATCCGGAAGAAAGTTTCAGAAGTGTAACAAGCCAGCTGGGCATCACACTTCTCTAGAAGTTCAGTCATTTCAACTTTGAAAATCTGCTATTGCACTGACTATTTTTGGAGGTGAGAACAGTAGGATTCCTTCAGCATTTAAACAAATTCTCTGGAAATATCCAGAAAACTGACAAAACTTGAATTAACTCTGAAGTCCTTCAAGATGAAGATACTGAAAAAAGGTGAAACAAAGCGAGTGACATTTGTGTGTTTAACAGCATTTCTATCTAAGGCCAAGTATCCACTCATTACTTTCAACATCCCCATCATTTGTGCTTTCCCACAGGTATGGATATTGAGTATTCAGGCATTCAGTTTCCCGAATCCAAATGTGGGTGCTGGTAAAGTTTGCTTCCATGGACTTATGTATGTGAGCCTCCTATTTCAGCAGACAAATGGCATTTGAGTGAGCAATTCACGGGAATGTGGAACATCTCCAAAACACAGCACATGCCTAAGCATCTACATTCTGTGTAGGGTTGCACAAGAGCTATTGGAGACTGTGTTTGCCTGGATTCCTCACACTGCAGCAGTGGGTTACCAGAAGAAGCAATACCTAAAGGAAGGAACTTTATGTGAACACTATATGAAAGGCAGTAGAGCCAAATGCCTTAAAAAGAGAATGGTATGACATTATTAAAACACAGCACATGCCTAAGCATCTACATTCTGTGTAGGGTTGCACAAGAGCTATTGGAGACTGTGTTTGCCTGGATTCCTCACACTGCAGCAGTGGGTTACCAGAAGAAGCAATACCTAAAGGAAGGAACTTTATGTGAACACTATATGAAAGGCAGTAGAGCCAAATGCCTTAAAAAGAGAATGGTATGACATTATTTTTTACTTGAAAAGGCAGTAGAGCCAAATGCTTTAAAAAGAGAATGGTATGACATTATTTCATTGTTTACTTGCTCTATTAAAATTCCCAACCTTTATGTGCTTTGCAAACAACTTGAGGACTTTGCAGTCTCCTTTAAATGCTGTCATTGACCTAGCAATAAAAAAAAAAAAAAAGAACAATGAAATGCAAGAATCAGGGCTAGGATTAAGACCACACATGAGGAAATCATAAGTAATCAGCATTTCTCAACATGCTTGGGACATACAGTCCCCCAGTGACCCCTGCTTGTACTCTGAACACTATGTACATTCTTGTTTGCTACTTGTCAACAGTGATCAACAACTCGATGAACACAATAGAAGGTATCAGTAGGGAGCAATATTGTTTAGACAGCTTTTCAGATAATATTTAGTAACTATGGCCTGTGCTTTCACAGTTCAAAACTGATTATCACCAAATCCTCTATATAAAATAACTCAGTTACTGAGATACTGGCATGAATGAATATGTGTGTGTGCCCACAAAAGGAAGGATCTGTGTATGGACCAATCTACATTTTACAGCCTACCTGCAGCATGGCTCCTGGGAAAACCTAGGCTTCCAGAGTATTTACTGCAGAGACTGCTCAAATTTCAGTTCACCAAAACTCGTTGGAAACCCTGACTTGTTTGCCCGACGCTTCATTTTGGCACACAGCAACAATGTTGATGACATACTTAGTATTTAATGAATGTCACTTCAGACAGCTTTCTCTGCATGCTTTTTGCAGTGTGCCAGATTCTCAATTTGCAAAGGTAAAGGTTTATATACAGGTATATATATAAACCACCTGAGTCTCTGATGCTAGTATCTGCATGCAGGGCCTAAGCACTACTGGTACATCTGCCTCATCTATGCTTATATCTGTGTCATGGAGTCAAAATTCCCAACTCTCCATCTCCCTTTGTACTGACAGATAACCACAGGAAATGGGGTCAAGACACAGAAGACAACCATAAAATTTGTGAGGTATACATTACTTAATCAAAGCCATCAAGACTTCTGGAATTAGAATAGAGGATAGACAAAGGAAAAAAGAAACAAACAGAGAGCAGGGAACACTGAAAATTTCATCTCTGCACAGCAGTTTTGCCAGCCAAAGCCAGCTGAGAACACTGACACAGACCTGGATGCACTCAGGCCAGATGCACACATTGGCACTGGAGGCCCTGGGATGCCATGTCCTCATTGCCTTTAGGGCAAAGTCATGATTTCTAGTGGATCATGATGCTTTATGGGTTTACTCTGGTCCCAAGTATAGCATGTTGCGTATTTCCTCCAAAGTGGTTACACTTTATTTTTTGGTTTTTAACAACAGTAACACTTCCAGGCAACTGAAGTACTAAGTGTTACTTCAGCCTAAAACCAAACACCACACTCCCACAGTCTAAAGAAGCAAGGGATATTGCATCAGTTTGAGTCAGTGAATTTGCTGGCTTGCAGAGGATAGTGTCCCAGTTTTGCCTTTATGTCTGTGGTTCCAAGATAAAACCACTGACTGACTGCCAATCTCAACATAACATTTGCTATTGACATACTTGATGAGTTCCAAGGAACGAAGAGCAGAACTGCAGATAACCAGCATCATCACCGACTTCTTCTCTTTGTGGTTTTTACGGAGTTTTGCCCACTTAGGACAGACTGCAATGAAAAAGCCCTTGTACACACACAGAGAAAGTACCACATGCCACAATTTTAAATTACTAGAGTACATGATGAATGGTAGCCAGAAGCAAGAACACACATACTGACTCCTATGAGGTCTGGATCTTTGGCAACACTTTTACACACAGTTATGGCTGAGAAACTGGAAAATGAAGTGCTTAAAATACAGAAACATCACACAATCAAATGAATTAGATAAGCATCAATAATCACCAGGTTGTATGGTGACAAGCCCATCATCTTCATTTGCCACATAAGGCAATTTGTATCAGGGAAAACCAACTGGAAAGAAACATTTACCAGACCAGAAGTTCAATATAAATATACAAGAGAATAAAAATTCTTTTGGTTCTCCAGCAGACAGCTGCAGGATTTTTGCTGAAAAATAATACATACACCTACTTATGAAACCACAATAAATTGCTAACGAATAATCCCTAGCAATTAAAAGAAATCCTAGAATATTTTGATACAAAAAAAAATGCTAGAGTAAAAAAGAGTCAGAAAAACAAAATCTGCCAGAAAAAGACCAGAAAAAACATTAAAGTGATTAATATTTCATAACAAACAATATTTGGAGCTAGAGATAAAAACTGCAGTAACATTGCCTTAATAATGTTTTTCATACAACTTTCATCTCATCCAGACCAGCATTTTAAACTCACTTTCCTTCAGGTATGAAGAAAAACTGTGGGTGAGATCATTGGCTGGCAAAAAACAGGAATCTGAAAATATAAAGGAAAAAAATGTTTTTGTCAATGTATTTTAACAGCAAAGGGATAATATATGTTTGCAGCATAACCACTAGTTATAGGGATGAAATCCCAACTGTGTAAAATCCATCATCAATAGATTACCATTTCTAAAACAAAAATTAATGTACCCCTCATGTAAAAGAAACATTATATTGGATAAACCAATGAAGGTAACATCTCTCAACCTGCTTGCAATTCCTTTCTTTTCTCCCACCATGAAATCCTGATACAGGGCTGCACAGGAGTGATCTTGTACTTTAGAAAAGTTTTCATATGTCTTTGCCACAATCAATCAGAAGTCTTAGCCAAAAGCCAATGTACCTAGAATAAAATATGTTTGTAAATTCCCCAAACCATTCATACTGTGTCAATGCAAGAACCTACCAATAATCTACCTGTCAGTAAATTTATTCCACTTTCCAGCCTTTCATATTGTGGTAATCTACCTAATTATATTGACCCTAATGGCAACATCTACACTGTATTTTAATGCCTTTCTCCTCCTCCATTTC